TCACACTTGGTCGTTGTAAAGTGTGTGCACCACCGTTGTCATTGATATTATTGTTACGGTTAATACTACTACTGTTGTTGTTGCTATTGGTGACTGACCAATATATACAGTATATAGCAACACAAATTGTAAGCAAAATGCTTTTCAATGTGTCTAAAAATGTAAATATGATCTACAATGCTATATTAGTGTTCATTCTAACCAAAATTGAAATGATTTATGAATAAAGCCTGTGATTGTGGTTAGTAATTCTGGTTAGTAATGGTCATCTAGTTAGAACTAGTAGATAGCATTAGTAGGCTGGTCAGTACTGGGAGCACAAGAGTGTACGTGCTACGAAATGCTTGTTACGAAAATTGAGTTGGCTAGACGAGTTTGACGTTTCCTCTAAGGAAGATTTGACCAAGAGACAGTGGTACGATTGCTAGAGAGGACAGGGGAGGCATGGAGTGCATTACGTCTGTGTGTGCGTTGTGTGAATGACAGGGGAGGCATGGAGTGCGTTACGTCTGTGTGTGCGTTGTGTGAATGACAGGGGAGGCATGGAGTGCGTTGCGTCTGTGTGTGCGTTGTGTGAATGACAGGGGAGGCATGGAGTGCGTTGCGTCTGTGTGTGCGTTGTGTGAATGACAGGGGAGGCATGGAGTGCGTTGCGTCTGTGTGTGCGTTGTGTGAATGACAGGGGAGGCATGGAGTGCGTTGCATCTGTGTGTGCGTTGTGTGAATGACAGGGGAGGCATGGAGTGAGTTACGTCTGTGTGTGCGTTGTGTGAATGACAGGGAGAGGCATGGAGTGCGTTACGTCTGTGTGTGTGTTTTGTGTGAATGAGTGTTATTAGTAATGGAAATTAGACTGCCTGGGGTAGTAGGGAGCATGGGCAGCTAGTGGGTTGTGGAGCGGCTGTGGGTGGGCATAGATTGCCTTGAGCCACTTGTGGTACTGAAGAATGCATCATTATTAAACATAGGTCTGTTAATAGACAAATAATTTACTCAACTTGCACATATATTAAATAAAAGTGACATGTTTCCGGTCCATGCTGGACTCTCATCTAGTCGTAACTACAGTATTGCTCGGTTATGACTCTTACGGTCCTGGAGGGACCAGAACATCGTCATTTTCATTTCATTTAGTTTGTGTGGATTGGGTTATTTGTTATCAATGACATTGTGTTTTATTCTCAGCATCTGTAAATAGGGTTAGGAGATACTGTATATATATATACTGGATATATTTTTAGACTTGCTATTCACAGTCATTTTTGGCTACATTGGTAAGTACTGGACTTAGAATGGAGTTGATTTAGCAGCAGATCTGTTGGTCCAAGTTGACCTTGACACCCTTACCAGCCGCCTGTGGCCCATTATGTGTAGTGTGTTGCTTGTAGTGCCAAGCGGCGTCGACCTGTGATGGGCGGCGGGTGTACAAAGCTTTCACAGTTGTGTCTTGAAATGCTAGACCTATCATGTCCTATATTAACCGTTAGTGATATGACCCTGTAATACCTAGTTATAATTGTTATAATTGTAATAATATTATTGGTTATAATTGGTATGATGGTTCCATTGGGTATGATGGTTCCATTGTATCAATGGTCCAGTGCACCTGCTCCTCCAATAATATACAGTATACTAACTCACTCTTCAAACTAAATGCTTCTGGTTATCGACTAGCTTTGTTTTCAAGTGTGTTTGTGCAATTTGTTGTTATATTTTTACTTGTAGAGTTTTATGAAGTATGTTGCTAGTAGGCTAATTGCAGTAGTTTTATTGTTAGTACTGTCAATGTATTGCTAATCTGTCTCTGAGAATCTTTACTTACACATAATACAAAGTATGCAGAATTTTTGAATTACCCAAGTGTAGTTACAGGATGCGAGATGCGCTTGTGGTGTCTCGTGTTCCCAGTACTCTTTCTTGACTCTTTGAAACTACATACTGCCGGTTTTGGCATCTGCCACATTCTCACTTGTTTCAACCATCTACCACTCTGTTTGCTAAAGTGAACTTTCTAACATTGGCAGTTTTGTTTCCTTGTCTTGAATACTTTGACCTCTTGTTCTTCAATTTACAGGTCTTGTGAATCATTGTTTGTTGATTCCTGTTACTATTTTGTGCATAGTGATCACCTCACCCCTTTTTTCTTCTATTTTCTAGCTGTGGTATATTTAACACCTCTAACCTCTCCTCGTAGCTCACGTTTTTCAGTTCCGGAAGCCATTTAGTTGCATGTCTTTGTACCGTTTCCTGTCTATTGATGTGCTTCTTGAGATGTGGGCACCATCCGTGTGCTTCATACTCCTATTTTGATCTCGTAGAGATCGTGAACGATTTCTGTAATATTTCACAAACCACGTACAGTTTTTAAAAGCAATTGTAATGTTTGAAAGTGCAGCATAACCTCCTCATATAATGTTCTTTATATAGTCCACTGTGATCTGAGTCACAGTGGACCACATAGAGAACATCGTGCAAGGAGCCTATGCTACTCTTTCCAACTTCAGAATTGCTTTTAAATACGTGGATGGTGAAATAATCAAAAAGACTGTTCACAATCTTCCTGTGCGTGTATGTTCCTTCAATGTATGTAGTTGCTGACTAACTAAGTGGCATTGAACTATTATCACCTGTGCTTTTACAACCCTGTACAGTTACACCGGGGTTTCGTCTGGATTTATAATACGGCATTTTACATAAAAACTTTGTTTGTGTAGATCTCTAATACAACACCTTACAGTAACTCCTGGTTGTGTAGATTTCTAATACTACACAGTACAGTAAAGCCTGGTTTGTGTTGTGACGTTAATCTGAAAAATATAGCAGCGGCTATTCTGACTGGTGTTGTGCCAATTACATTAAATAAAAAATCAAGTCAAATCAAGTAAATAAGACGGCTTGTGGCCACTACTGTGTGAGAGCTGCGGGTAACACAAAGAGAATACACTTAAAACTTTTAATATAACAAAAATGACTTTAACAAAACAAAGCCCCTTATCCACTTGGCAATAACACAATATCAAATATAAAAGAAATATAAACACAGGTGAGTTTTTACGTTAAGCAAAGGAAATGTGCAAATTACTGTAATATAATATACAAAAGCTGTATGCATCTACTGTCTCCTGGGAAGGCTACAGTATATGTTACTGCTGAAAGCACGAAGTGTATTCTGAGGACTGGATGATTGATTGATTGATTGATGAAGATTAAGCCACCCAAAAGGTAGCACAGGCATGAATAGTCCGTAAGTGGAGGCCCTTTTGAGCCATTACCAGCATCATTAGCTGATACTGGAGATCTGTGGAGGTGCGACTACACCCTGCGTGACGGGAGATGTCTCCCCCCGTAGAGGACTGTACGTCGCTGAGCTCCTTATATATATGCAGGCCAGTCCAGCATAGATGGCGCTGATGTCGTGGGTAACCATTATTCAGGCAATTAAACAAGCAGTTAGTGGCGCTGGGTCTCTGCCCAGACAGCAGGTGTCCAGGCGTCTTGGGTACTAGAGGGTGGAGAGGGGGATGGGGGTCCTGTCTAGACACTGAGGCTTCAGAGCACTTATTGTTGTTGATGTTGATTCCTTGCGTTGGAGCATGCGGATACGTTGGTGAATAGGCGGTAAAGTGAAGAGGCAGGATCTTCTGCTTAAGCACGATATTACTGCAACAGTGTAAATTTCTAATACACTACAATACAGTAAAGCCTGGTTTGTGTAGATTTCTAATACACCACCATACAGTAAAGGCTGGTTTATACAAACATTTATGTGGTCAGGGCTGCTGCATGTCCCCCAAGAGGAGGATAGCTAGAGATTCCTAAAGAAAGAACTTGAAAATACTACTTCATCCTTAACATATCATTTAATCAATATATCCCAAATGAGTTGGTATTAGTTACTTTTTTATAATGTAACTTAATTGAAATTGACCTGGTCATGTGATTGGTGTAATGTGCAGTAGTCACTACGGTACGTGTTCGGATGCTTTTTCCGCAGAACAGGAAGCTTGTGTTGGTTGGGTAACCATCGTTGGCTTCTGAATTCTTCTTCTTTTTATTTTGTTCAGAGCGATCTGAGCGAAGCCAAGGAAGAAGCGGAGAGACTACGTCTACGGCTCTGTGCATTGGCATCTCTGAGTTGTCAGGACGAAGTGCTGAGCCTCAAGACTGAACTGGCATCTCTGCGGGGAAAGGTACGTTGGTGATGGTGGGAGCCCTATAATACTTCCTCTTACAGCTCTGCTTGAATATTGTGGAGTTTCAGATTGTACAGTACAATATGTCACGTTCATTGTCACCCGTGTAATGTTGTTATTGTCAACACCATTAACAGGAAAATTACTTGACACTTAGAAAATAGCCAACATTGTCCCATTTATAAAAAGATGACTAGTTAAGTTGAGCTATAAACTCGTATTATTAACCAACCGAGCCAAATCACTAGAATATAGATGTATGGAATATCCCCAATTAAATAGCAAAATAATAAACATTCACTTTAGTTTCAGCAATATTGTGTATGAAATGTTTGTAGTTTTATGAAATTGTTACCAAGATTTAGGGCCGGTGTCATGGATAACCAAGTGATGGTAGAGTAGACATCAGTGATCAGGACTTACGAAACGCATTTGATAAAAACCCACTGGAGACTGTTATGGAAGTGTGCTGGACGAGCAGCGGCCCGAGTGTTAGTATGGAGGCTTACTAACAAGTGGGGGCCTGACGACTGAGTGGATAATGCTTTGGATTCATAGTCCTGAGGTTCCGGGTTTGATCCCCGGTGGAGGCGGAAACAAATAGGCAGAGTTTCTTTCACCTTGATGCCCTGTTCTCTTAGCAGTAAATAGGTACCCTGGGAGTTAGACAGCTGCTACGGGCTGCTTCCTGGGGTGTGTGTGTAACAAAATGGAAGCCTGGTCGAGGACCGGGCCGTGAGGACGCTAAGCCCCGATATCTTCTCAAGATAACCAAGATGGATGAACACTTCTTTGATAGGGAGAATACTGGATAGAGAGCATAAATTAGAATGGAAGAATGCCATTAGTGGTGCTATGACTCACAATGAGCTCAAAACCCTCTCGTATTCACATCTAAAGATATTTTCATTTTTGTTTTTAACACTAGTTATATACTTTTAGACTCCAAACACTTTTGTTTGTGACTTTGCATTATTTTGAAAACTTTAAGCAATATACGTTTTGATCTAAAATTTTCTGTCGCTGATGAATTCGGGAAATAATGATTCATTTACTCCTACGATTTTGCAATTCACATGCCGGTTATATTTGCAGGTTCATGACGAAGGGAAGTCGTACCTCAACTATATCTCCGAACTCTCGTCTCGAATCTTGGACCTCCTGCTACAGGTGGGTGCCTGGGTCATGTCCAGCTTGTAGTAGTGCCGTTGAGGTCATCAGGGGGCATAGGTTAGACTGTCGTTCAGTCTCATTATTCATGAGTATTGTGTTTATATGGTGCCACTGACCTCATTATTATGAGAAATTTGGTATTGATCAATCAGCTAAGTAACAAGAGGCTCTTGCGTGTAGATTCAGGTACAAACATCAGCCGATCAAAGTGCTGCAGTGAGCGAGGCCGTGAAGTTGGCTCGCGCAGATGAAGAGAGGCTTCAGGAACAGTTGCGGGGAACACTAGACCTGCAGGCCCACAAGCTGAACGATGCCCAGCGTGAGATTGAGGTGTACCAGGAGCAGCTTCATCGTCAGCAAGAGAACTTGCAGGTAGTGTGCTCCCCTTCCCCCCCCCCCACCAGAAATGCTGGTGTTCGATGGTGTCTGATGACATATGATTCTAATGCAAAATGGGAGGGAACAAAGGTAGAATAGAGGGATGTTTATTGTACAACCAATCCCCTTACTTGATGCAATGTATATAATTTTTTTTTAATATACTAGTTTGATGTACTGTATTGGTAAAAATTAAAGAACCATAATATTTCTTGTTGCATGGGGCTCGATGGGTTAAGTGGGTTGCTTGGGTTCATACGTTTCTGGTTAGGAAAAAGATTTATTTTTCACGAAGTAGGAAAATCAAGAGAACTGGGTGTGTTGCGGCATACACAGTAGAGTACTGTGTTGCGACGTACACTGTAGAGTACTGTGTTGTGACGTATGCTGTAGAGTACTGTGTTGCGACATGCACTGTAGAGTACTGTGTTGCGGCGTACACTGTAGAGTACTGTGTTGCGACGTACACTGTAGAGTACTGTGTTGCGACGTATGCTGTAGAGTACTGTGTTGTGACGTATGCTGTAGAGTACTGTGTTGCGACGTACACTGTAGAGTACTGTGTTGCGACATGCACTGTAGAGTACTGTGTTGCGACGTACACTGTAGAGTACTGTGTTGCGACATGCACTGTAGAGTACTGTGTTGCGACGTACACTGTAGAGTACTGTGTTGCGACATGCACTGTAGAGTACTGTGTTGCGACGTATGCTGTAGAGTACTGTGTTGCGGCATACACTGTAGAGTACTGTGTTGTGACGTACACTGTAGAGTACTGTGTTGCGACGTATGCTGTAGAGTACTGTGTTGCGACGTACACTGTAGAGTACTGTGTTGCGACATGCACTGTTGAGTACTGTGTTGCGACGTATGCTGTAGAGTACTGTGTTGCGACGTACACTGTACTGTGTTGCGACATGCACTGTAGAGTACTGTGTTGCGACGTACACTGTAGAGTACTGTGTTGCGACGTACACTGTAGAGTACTGTGTTGCGACGTACACTGTAGAGTACTGTGTTGCGACGTACACTGTAGAGTACTGTGTTGCGACTTACACTGTAGAGTACTGTGTTGCGACGTACACTGTAGAGTACTGTGTTGCGACGTACACTGTAGAGTACTGTGTTGCGACTTACACTGTAGAGTACTGTGTTGCGACATGCACTGTAGAGTACTGTGTTGCGGCATGCACTGTAGAGTACTGTGTTGCGACGTACACTGTAGAGTACTGTGTTGCGACGTACACTGTAGAGTACTGTGTTGCGACGTATGCTGTAGAGTACTGTGTTGCGACATGCACTGTAGAGTACTGTGTTGCGACATGCACTGTAGAGTACTGTGTTGCGACATGCACTGTAGAGTACTGTGTTGCGACATGCACTGTAGAGTACTGTGTTGCGACGTACACTGTAGAGTACTGTGTTGCGACGTATGCTGTAGAGTACTGTGTTGTGACATGCACTGTAGAGTACTGTGTTGCGACATGCACTGTAGAGTACTGTGTTGCGACATGCACTGTAGAGTACTGTGTTGCGACGTATGCTGTAGAGTACTGTGTTGCGACATGCACTGTAGAGTACTGTGTTGCGACATGCACTGTAGAGTACTGTGTTGCGACGTACACTGTAGAGTACTGTGTTGCGACGTACACTGTAGAGTACTGTGTTGCGACGTACACTGTAGAGTACTGTGTTGCGACGTACACTGTAGAGTACTGTGTTGCGACGTACACTGTAGAGTACTGTGTTGCGACGTACACTGTAGAGTACTGTGTTGCGACGTACACTGTAGAGTACTGTGTTGCGACATGCACTGTAGAGTACTGTGTTGCGACGTACACTGTAGAGTACTGTGTTGCGACGTACACTGTAGAGTACTGTGTTGCGACGTACACTGTAGAGTACTGTGTTGCGATGTACACTGTAGAGTACTGTGTTGCGACGTATGCTGTAGAGTACTGTGTTGCGACGTATGCTGTAGAGTACTGTGTTGCGACGTATGCTGTAGAGTACTGTGTTGCGACGTACACTGTAGAGTACTGTGTTGCGACGTATGCTGTAGAGTACTGTGTTGCGACATGCACTGTTGAGTACTGTGTTGCGACGTATGCTGTAGAGTACTGTGTTGCGACGTGCACTGTAGAGTACTGTGTTGCGACGTGCACTGTAGAGTACTGTGTTGCGACGTACACTTTAGAGTACTGTGTTGCGACGTACACTTTAGAGTACTGCATTCATTTTGGTCGGTGAGGGGGCGAAGCAGGGGCGTGTGGGGCACAATTTACTGGCCTCTGGGGGTTAATGCAAGGAGATGTTAGATTATCCGAAGGAAACTTGCAGTGCCTTGGGATAATATGACACAGACCACTCTCTCAATGGAATTGGTGACAAAGGATGTATTCTTACTTTGATCTTGTGTATTTTTGGTAATTGTGTGTGTGTGTGCCGCAGCAAACGACTGTGGAGTTTGAGGAGGCAAAAAGAATGTTGATAGAGGAGAAAGTGGAGGCTGTGAAGCGGCTGACCCTGGAGCACGAGCTGGAAATGGATTCCCTGAAGGAGCGTTGGAGAGGCGACGACACATCTCGGCAGGAGGAGATCACGTCACTTACTCAGGTAACCCATTCCTCTGTGTCACAACATTCTGTTTACAAACTTTGGCAGGAGGAGATCACGTCCCTTAATCAGGTAACCCACTCCTCTGTGTCACAACATTCTGTTTACAAACTGTAACAATGTGGGCTATAATTATTATGTATTTGACTAACAATAATTCACAAAATGTGGAGCAACGCGCACCAAGGAGATTTGAGCTCGAGAGGGTTAAGGGTTAAGAGCTGGATGCAGTGTATATATGCAACTGAAAGGACTTACTTAGGATATAGAAGTTGCCTATAGTTTTTGCATACAGCTTTTCATATATATATGCAAAACTTTGTTTTCTGAGCATGAGAATGCTGTTAGATCCATTTGTCTGGATAGATGAATATTCCGACAGATGGATGTTGGGATAAATGGATGAGTACTTCAACCGGTGGATTTTGGCATAGACAGGTATTCTGACAGCTCTACCGACAGGTGGGGTAGGGCGAGGACACTGACAGGTGGGGAAGGTGCGAGGACACTGACAGGTGGGGCAGGTGCGAGGACACTGACAGGTGGGGAAGGTGCGAAGACACTGACAGGTGGGGAAGGTGCAAGGACACCGACAGGTGGGGAAGGTGCAAGGACACTGACAGGTGGGGTAGGGCGAGGACACTGACAGGTGGGGAAGGTGCAAGGACACTGACAGGTGGGGTAGGGCGAGGTCACTGACAGGTGGGGAAGGTGCGAGGACACTGACAGGTGGGGCAGGGCGAGGACACTGACAGGTGGGGAAGGTGTGAGGACACTGACAGGTGGGGAAGGTGTGAGGACACTGACAGGTGGGGAAGGTGCGAGGACACTGACAGGTGGGGAAGGTGGGAGGACACTGACAGGTGGGGAAGGTGTGAGGACACTGACAGGTGGGGAAGGTGCGAGGACACTGACAGGTGGGGAAGGTGCGAGGACACTGACAGGTGGGGAAGGTGCAAGGACACCGACAGGTGGGGAAGGTGCAAGGACACCGACAGGTGGGGCAGGTGCAAGGACACCGACAGGTGGGGAAGGTGCGAGGACACTGACAGGTGGGGAAGGTGCAAGGACACTGACAGGTGGGGCAGGTGCAAGGACACTGACAGGTGGGGAAGGTGCGAGGACACTGACAGGTGGGGAAGGTGCAAGGACACCGACAGGTGGGGAAGGTGCGAGGACACTGACAGGTGGGGAAGGTGCGAGGACACTGACAGGTGGGGAAGGTGCGAGGACACTGACAGGTGGGGAAGGTGCGAGGACACTGACAGGTGGGGAAGGTGCGAGGACACTGACAGGTGGGGAAGCGTGAGGACACTGACAGGTGGGGCAGGGCGAGGACACTGACAGGTGGGGCAGGTGTGAGGACACTGACAGGTGGGGAAGATGCGAGGACACTGACAGGTGGGGAAGGTGCGAGGACACTGACAGGTGGGGAAGGTGCGAGGACACTGACAGGTGGGGTAGGGCGAGGTCACTGACAGGTGGGGTAGGGCGAGGTCACTGACAGGTGGGGAAGGTGCGAGGTCACTGACAGGTGGGGAAGGTGCGAGGTCACTGACAGGTGGGGCAGGTGCGAGGTCACTGACAGGTGGGGAAGGTGCGAGGTCACTGACAGGTGGGGAAGGTGCGAGGACACTGACAGGTGGGGTAGGGCTAGGACACTGACAGGTGGGACAAGCGCGAGGACACTGACAGGTGGGGAAGCGCGAGGACACTGACAGGTGGGACAAGCGCGAGGACACTGACAGGTGGGGAAGCGCGAGGACACTGACAGGTGGGACAAGCGCGAGGACACTGACAGGTGGGGAAGCGCGAGGACACTGACAGGTGGGACAAGCGCGAGGACACTGACAGGTGGGACAAGCGCGAGGACACTGACAGGTGGGACAAGCGCGAGGACACTGACAGGTGGGACAAGCGCGAGGACACTGACAGGTGGGACAAGCACGAGGACACTGACAGGTGGGACAAGCGCGAGGACACTGACAGGTGGGACAAGCACGAGGACACTGACAGGTGGGACAGGCGCGAGGACACTGACAGGTGGGACAGGCGCGAGGACACTGACAGGTGGGACAGGCGCGAGGACACTGACAGGTGGGGTAGGGCGAGGACACTGACAGGTGGGACAGGCGCGAGGACACTGACAGGTGGGACAGGCGCGAGGACACTGACAGGTGGGACAGGCGCGAGGACACTGACAGGTGGGGTAGGGCGAGGACACTGACAGGTGGGACAGGCGCGAGGACACTGACAGGTGGGACAGGCGCGAGGACACCAATAGACACCAATAGAAAGGTATAAATAGTTTCCAGCATCGTCACACTGCTACCATAAACACTCAACGATGCACATTTATTTCCTCAGAAATTACACGACCTGGAAGAAGCTCTGGAGGACGCCAAGCAGGAGCGCAGTGAGCTGGAGAAGAGCTTCCAGAGCCGCTTTGAGATGCACATCCAGGAGGAGAAAGATAAGATAGTGCAGATCTTGGAGGTGAGCTTCACCGAGAGGGAGAAGAAGGCACTCGAGACATTGCGAGAACAGCTGGTTCAGGAGCACCAGCTTCAGGTTAACAGGTGGGTTGTTGTTGTGGGACGACCAGGTGGGTTGTTGTTGTGGGACGAGCAGGTGGGTTGTTGTGGGACGAGCAGGTGGGTTGTTGTGGGACGACCAGGTGGGTTGTTGTCGTGGGACGACCAGGTGGGTTGTGTGGCAGGTGGGTTGTGTGTGGGACGAGCAGGTGGGTTGTTGTGGGACGAGCAGGTGGGTTGTTGTGGGACGAGCAGGTGGGTTGTTGTGGGACGAGCAGGTGGGTTGTTGTGGGACGAGCAGGTGGGTTGTTGTCGTGGGACGACCAGGTGGGTTGTTGTCGTGGGACGACCAGGTGGGTTGTTGTCGTGGGACGACCAGGTGGGTTGTTGTGGGACGAGCAGGTGGGTTGTTGTGGGACGAGCAGGTGGGTTGTTGTCGTGGGACGACCAGGTGGGTTGTTGTGGGACGACCAGGTGGGTTGTTGTTGTGGGACGACCAGGTGGGTTGTTGTGGGACGAGCAGGTGGGTTGTTGTGGGACGAGCAGGTGGGTTGTTGTGGGACGAGCAGGTGGGTTTGTGGGACGAGCAGGTGGGTTGTTGTGGGACGAGCAGGTGGGTTGTTGTGGGACGAGCAGGTGGGTTGTTGTGGGACGAGCAGGTGGGTTGTTGTGGGACGAGCAGGTGGGTTGTTGTCGTGGGACGACCAGGTGGGTTGTTGTGGGACGACCAGGTGGGTTGTTGTCGTGGGACGACCAGGTGGGTTGTGTTGTGGGACGAGCAGGTGGGTTGTTGTGGGACGACCAGGTGGGTTGTTGTGGGACGACCAGGTGGGTTGTTGTCGTGGGACGACCAGGTGGGTTGTTGTTGTGGGACGACCAGGTGGGTTGTTGTCGTGGGACGACCAGGTGGGTTGTTGTTGTGGGACGACCAGGTGGGTTGTTGTGGGACGAGCAGGTGGGTTGTTGTGGGACGAGCAGGTGGGTTGTTGTGGGACGAGCAGGTGGGTTGTTGTGGGACGACCAGGTGGGTTGTTGTCGTGGGACGACCAGGTGGGTTGTTGTTGTGGGACGACCAGGTGGGTTGTTGTTGTGGGACGAGCAGGTGGGTTGTTGTGGGACGAGCAGGTGGGTTGTTGTGGGACGAGCAGGTGGGTTGTGTGGCACGAGCAGGTGGGTTGTGTGGGACGACCAGGTGGGTTGTGTGGGACGACCAGGTGGGTTGTGTGGGACGAGCAGGTGGGTTGTGTGGGACGACCAGGTGGGTTGTGTGGGACGACCAGGTGGGTTGTGTGGGACGACCAGGTGGGTTGTGTGGGACGACCAGGTGGGTTGTGTGGGACGACCAGGTGGGTTGTGTGGGACGAGCAGGTGGGTTGTGTGGGACGACCAGGTGGGTTGTGTGGGACGAGCAGGTGGGTTGTGTGGGACGAGCAGGTGGGTTGTTGTGGGACGAGCAGGTGGGTTGTTGTGGCACGAGCAGGTGGGTTGTTGTGGCACGAGCAGGTGGGTTGTGTGGCACGAGCAGGTGGGTTGTGTGGCACGAGCAGGTGGGTTGTGTGGCACGAGCAGGTGGGTTGTGTGGCACGAGCAGGTGGGTTGTGTGGGACGAGCAGGTGGGTTGTGTGGGACGAGCAGGTGGGTTGTGTGGGACGAGCAGGTGGGTTGTGTGGCACGAGCAGGTGGGTTGTGTGGCACGAGCAGGTGGGTTGTGTGGCATGAGCAGGTGGGTTGTGTGGGACGAGCAGGTGGGTTGTGTGGGACGAGCAGGTGGGTTGTGTGGCATGAGCAGGTGGGTTGTTGTGGGACGAGCAGGTGGGTTGTTGTGGCACGAGCAGGTGGGTTGTGTGGGACGAGCAGGTGGGTTGTGTGGGACGAGCAGGTGGGTTGTGTGGGACGACCAGGTGGGTTGTGTGGCACGAGCAGGTGGGTTGTGTGGCACGAGCAGGTGGGTTGTGTGGCACAAGCAGGTGGATTTCATGGGACGAGCAGGTGGATTTCATGGGACGAGCAGGTGGATTGCGTGAGACGAGCAAGTAGGTTACTCCCTTGTGTGGTGAACATGTAGGTTAATCTTGAAAAATGTGGTCCGAGACTAAATAAACTGGTTTGGCATAGAAAACAATTTGCTTTATCATAAGTGAGTTTGTCGTGATTACATTGGCGTGGGCCAGAAGGATAAACGGGCTAGCATATTGGTGACCTCCTATGTCCGCTGCTGTATCGTGCCATGAGAATCGCATGCATTTGCTCTCCAAAATGGTGCTAAGCTCTTCAAAATGTCTTCCTGCTAAAAAAAAAATTACCAAAGTTCTGGAACCTGCTAAAATAGCTTCACATTTACAGCCCCAAAACATGACCCCAGGCCAGAAAAAGAAATAATGACAGGTTCATGCGACTGTGTGAACTGTTACAAGAATTAATGAGGGACTGAAAGATAAAAGGAATGATGAACAACAACAGAAATATTGCAAGAAAGAGAAATTTTATTTTGAAACACTGGAGGAGTTTACTGGCAAATGATTATAAAGTTGCATTCGGCAATGAATAATTTTCTTCTTACAGCTTAGGGGTTTTTGTATGTTGAAGAATATTATTTGGAATGGATAACTCGCAATGAGCATTAACCAAGAGTTGATTTTATTGAACGTAAAAATGTTCTCAATTTTCAAGCCGTGGGAAATGACTGTCTAAATGCTTAACCCTCATATTTCATGTTTGCAGACTGCTAAAGGAGAAAGAGGAGGCCATCCAGGCAGCGTGCGAGGAGGTCCGCACCAAACTGGTGGTGGAGTGGCGGGAGGTGGTGGAGCAGCAGCACAAGGACCTCACCGAGAAGCACAACACCCATCTCGCTCAATGCCAACACCAGTGGGAGCAGGACAAGCAGGCGGAACTGGCCACCAAGGTGGCCGAGATTGTACGTTGCCTCTCGCGCATGTTCCAATAAAAGGCCTTTCCCTGGAAACACAAACCGAAACTGTCTCTATTTTCCGCTTGTTATAACTTGTAGTAAAGTTGTTACATCTTGGCTTAACGTGTTTATGACGTATTAGAACGTTGTTACAACTTGCTATATTGGTTGTTATAACTGGTTAGGAAGTGTTAAAACTTGCTCGAACGTTGTACCAACGTTGTAGTTTCGGTGTGTGTTTGGCGGGTTCTGTGTTGTGTGTGTGTGTGTGTGTTATTTACAGGCTCTATGGTTGTTTATACTGGCTATAAGAGGAAGGCTGTGTTGTGTATATAGGCACTGTGGTTTGAAATGTAGTTGTTTATTTAAGGATTAATTATTTGTATAGACAGTGTTCTCTATATATGCACTATACATCTTTAAATACTGTAGTTACTTAGATTGGCACTAGTTATGTTATTTGTTATTTTGTTCATTAGCTGTGCGTACTGGCACTGTAGTTGTCGTTTGTTCTGCACATGTTCCTGCGTATTTATCCCTAAAGTATGCTGTATTGCTCCTAAGCTAGCCGTGTGTATTCACTCAGTTTGACACCGTTATTCTTTTCATGTGTGTTAGGTTGGGCTAGGTTGGGTGGGCTTAGACAATGGTTCAGTGAGGTGTGACTATATAAGAACAGTATGATTAAGTTAGGTTAGGAGCCAGTTGGAAAGGGGGAGACCAGGCTGGAACCTTAATTAATATATAGAATTATATTATTCCTAAACCAATTCTTGTATTTATCCATTAATTTATTCATTTGCTATATTTCCCCTATGCTGAAAAAGCAATTACTGTACTGTACTCTGACATTTTGATATATAGGATAGTCGTTGGAGAGAAGAACGGGACTCCAATGTGGAGCGTGTTCGTCAACAGTACAAGATGGAGCTGGAGGGCCTGCGCTCACGGTTCAGGATGATGACGACAGCCAGCATGGACAAGTCTCCCTCAGAAACATCACTAGAAAAGTTTGAGGTTGGTTTTGTTTATAGTTGCTGGCACTTAACAACATAAGAATGAAGGTAACTGCAGAAGGTCTATTGGCCCATAAGAGGCAGCTCCTATTGGCCCATACGAGGCAGCTCCTATTGGCCCATACGAGGCAGCTCCTATTGGCTCATACGAGGCAGCTCCTATTTATAACCACCCAATCCCACTCATATACATGTCCAACCCATCCTTGAAACAATCGAGGGACCCCACCTCCACCACGTTACGCGGTAATTGGTTCCGCAAATCAACAAAACCGAACCAGTATTTACCCAAGTCTTTCCTAAATCTAAACTTAACCAATTTATTCCCATTGTTTCGTCTTGTGTTGATACTTTTAACACCCTACTAATATCCTCTTTGTTATGTCCATTCATCCACTTATACACCTCTATCATGTCACCTCTAACTCTTCGCCTTTCCAACAAATGTAATTTAAGCTTTGTCAAACTTTCTTCATATGACATGTTTCTAATTTCTGTGATTAACTTAGTCATCCTACGCTGGATGTGTTCAAGTGAATTTATATCCATTCTATAGTACGGCGACCAAAATTTAACTGAATAATCTAAATGGGGCAAGATATAGCTGAACCACACCAGGTGTCTTGTTACTAACGCTTCGATTAATAAATCCCAGTGTCCTATTTGCCTTATTACGAACATTTATACATTGATTTTTTAGTTTTAAATTCTTACTAATCATAACTCCCAGATCCCTTTCGCAATCCGACTTTGCAATCTTAACACCATCTAGCTCGTATCTTGTAATTATATCATCATTATCCATTCTTAAAACTTTACATTATCAGCATTAAACTGCATCTGTCAAGCTTTTGACCATTTCAAAACTCTATTTAGATCGTCTTGAAGTGACAGAGTCTGTTTTCATGTTTATTTCCCTCCTAATTTTTGTATCATCAACAAATTTGCAAATATTGCTGCTCAAACCTGATTCTAAGTCATTTATATATGTTATGAATAACAGAGGTCCCCAGGATAGAGCCTTGAGGCACGCCACTTACAACATTTTCCCACTCTGACTTGACCCCATTTATATTAACTGTTTCCTCTGGTATAGCCATTCCCTAATCCAACTTAATATAGCACCCCCAATTCCATGAGTCTCTATCTTTTTAATCAGTCTTTTATGAGGCACTGTATCAAAGGCTTTGCTAAAGTCAAGGTACACTACATCATAAATTTCACCACCTTACCTTGAGGTTACCTTGAGGTGTTTTCGGGGCTTAGCGACCCTGCGGCTTGGTCATCGACCAGGCCTCCTGGTTGCTGGACTGGTCAACCAGGCTGTTGGATGCGGCTGCTCGCAGCCTTACATATGAATCACAGCTTGGTTGATCAGGTATCCTTTGGAGGTGTTTATTCATTTCTCTCTTGAAGACTGAGGGGTCAGCCAGTTATGTCCCTTATGTGTAGCGGAAGCGTGTTGAACAGTGTCGGGCCTCTGAAGTTGATCAGAGTTCTCTCTCAGAGTACCCGTTGCACCTCTGCTCTTCAACGGGGGTATTCTGCACATCCTGCCATGTGCAGAATACCCCCGTTCTGGTCATTCTGGTCTCCTGTGATGTTATTTTTGTGTGCAGGTTTGGGACCAGCCCCTCTAATATTTTCCCTGTGTAAATTACTATGTATCTCTCCCGCCTGCGCTCAAGAGAATGCAGATTTAGGCTCTTTAGTCGGTCCCAGTAGTTTAGATGTTTTACTGAGTGGATTCTAGCAGTAAGGGATCTCTGCACACTCAGCAATTTCTCCAGCTATGAAAGGGGGCTGTCATTGTGCAGCAGTACTCCACTCTAGAGAGCACTAGCATCCACTCTAAGCAGCACCAACTGCCTCAACTATGCTGGAGTAAAATGATAGCAAATTTGTTAAACATAAACGACCATTTGTAAACCCATATTATGAATCATTTATTAATTTATGTTTTTCAAGATGAAGACGAATGGTATTTGCAATTATCGATTCAAGTAACTTTCCCACAATAGACGTTAGGCTAATTGGCCGATAGTTTGACGTAAATGATCTATCTCCTTTCATAAAAATTGGTACCCCATTTAGCAACCTTCCATGACTCTGGCACTCTGCCTGACTCTATTGATTTATTAAACATGGTAGACAGTGGCTCGGAAAGCTCGTCTTTGCATTCTTTAAGCACCCTGGCAAACACTTCATCCGGCCCTGGGGATTTGTTTGGTTTGATTTTCCCTATTTATTTAATAACACCCTCCCTGTTAACTGCTAAACTAGTCAACCTGTCCTCGTCCCCGCCAACATAGGCTTGTTCAGCTGAAGGCATAGTGTTAAGTTCCTCTTTAGTAAATACAGAGATAAAATATTTAATAAAAATGCTACTCATCTCTTCGTCATTATCTGTTATCTGACCTGTCTCAGTTTTTAATGGACCTATCCTTTCCCTAATCTTTGTTCGATATAACTGAAAAAAACCTTTAGGATTTGTCTTTGCTTGCCCTGCTATGCGAACTTCATAGTTTCTTTTTGCTTTCCCTATCTTTTTTTTAACATTTCTAACCAGCTGTACGAATTCTTGTTCTAAACTGACTTCCCCATTCTTAATCCTTTTGTACCACTCTCTCTTTTTACCTATAAGGTTCTTCAGATCCTTTGTTATCCATTTTGGGTCATTGGTATTCGATCTATTCAATTTGTATAGTATAGTATGTAACTGTGCTCCTCTTAGAATATTTTTTAAATAAGTTATATTTTGAATCTACATCGAAATCCTTTTTTACATCACCCATCGATGGCTTCACGTCTTGCTCCAAGACCGGCCCACCCCCTATGCCCAAGACTTTCCAATCTATTTGACCCCCCAAAAAAATTGTAGGCTATTAAAATCAGCTTTCCAAAAATCTTTTCACTTTAACAGAATATCTCCTATAGATCTATTCCATTCTATGCTAAGTCTGATTTCTTTATGATCACCGTTCCCTAGCTCACTCCCTATTCTTGAATTCTGAATTTGATATGAGCAACACGTTAGTGAGATGTGTGGGTAGTTGAGGGCTTCCAGTGTGTCTTCTGTCTTGCCGTCGTTGCATCTAATTCCATCATAAGGGATTTTACAGGAACTGCATTTCCTCCTCGTCGACGATAATACCGTCCATTGTTATTGTGTCATGTTGGTAACCCTCCTTCCCTTAGATGCCTCGGTGGGTTCTGTGTTGTATACCTCCTGGTTCCTGTTGACGACTTCCTGATCCACTTTGTTGTTGCCTCTGTAAAGATGGAATTTTTGTCAGTGTCTCCAAAAATAGTAAGCTGTGTGGACTGCTCAACTATATGAACGTGCTACATCATGATACACAGGACACAAAATAGTTCACTAAACTAACTTAAAAATAAATTTTGTATGGAGATTTGTGCACAGCAAATAGAGGTCTGATCGAGAACTGGGCCACAGAGACATTGAGCCCCGAAAACATTGCAAATTAACAAGCACGGTACAGTCGTTGAAGCAGTGTTAAGGGTCGACTTGATCATTCTATATTTTACGCTTTTTAGCGAGGCGAGTTCTTGGACTTGGGGGCCCATGAGGCGGCACTGGCCAGACTGCGGGAGGAACTGATAAAGGAGAAGGAGGCGGCCTTGGAGGCTACGCAGTTGAGTCTCCAGGAACAGTTTGCTCAAGCACAGGAGGAGGCGATGCAGAAGCACCAGGAGATGAGGAAGGAGGAGAGACGGAGAATAGAAGCCGAAAAGCAGGTGAGACTGATAGGTTAATAGGTTTAGGATTGAGGGTTGGATTGATTTATCAATTGTAATATGCACGTACTGTAACATTGATGCGTTATTGTGACGGGCGAGAGGTGTAATATGCAGTGAGAATTGGAATATTGATCATTTAAACGAGTACTGTATTCACAAAAGGAGAAGATTACCTTACCTGTTTGTTTTTCACTTCAGATTGTGTTCAATGATGCCATAAAGTCGGTGACCCAAGACAAGGAGAGAGTGATTGAAGACTTGCGGTTGAGAGTGGAGCTCCTCACCGATGAAACCGAGAAGTTGCGGAGATTGATGCACCACGCAGCCACCGAGTCTTCCGACCAGCTTATAACCGCCCTGGCCAGGGAGAATGAAGTGTACAAGGTACACAAACTTATCATCTACCTCTTTTATTCTAATAGATAATTGGAATCTATTTGTAGGATGCATAGACGTTAAAATCACAGGGATGACTTTAGGTAGTATGAGACAAAAAATGCCTGGTGCAGCTCAGAATTTTCTTAGTGTTTTGGCAGGAATGTCAACGTTCTTGAGAGGCATAGTACAGCTTCTTATATACCCAGATTCTGGGTAAGGCACAATGTCTAGAGTTGAGCTCCAAGAATAAGACCTTGCTCTAATGCTCAGAGCAAGGTCTTATTCTTTGTTTTGCCATTCCTTTGCCCCTATAAGCATTAATGCAATCCTTAGATATCCCCCATTGTGTTTTCCCCACATACTCACATTTTAAAAAGAAATGATAGAAACATTAACATTGAGAGAGGCAGTTAATGCACCAGCTATGAACAGCTAGGAGGTGGGGCATAGAGAGCTAGATCTCGCTCTCCTTTAGTCACCGATAGGAAGCACATTCTTATTTTCTGTAGCACATAACTATTAGGTTATGTGCCTTATTACAGTTTGTGACTAGCACCTGTACTGAGGCCAGGCTATCACAAACCAACCAATCAAAATGATGTCTTCAATTTTGCAGGAGCGATGTGAGATGCTGCAAAAGGACATCATTCGTCTTGAAGGAGAGGTCCTGCGTGCAAAACGTCTGAGCTTCGTGGTAGCCACGGAACGGCCGACTGACCTCTCCATGTCTTTCACGGATGCCGGTGCCACCTTAACAACGCCACTGGGTTCCCTGAGTGCGAATGAGGACGTGAGAAAGTTGCAACAGGAGAACCAGGAACTCAGAGACAAACTAGTGAGTGTTGTGCGTGACACGTGCCTCATGGCATGGCTTGATGGAGGTCAAAACGTGTACACTGTATTAAGAAAAAGGTAGAAAAGACAGATTACTGACCATAATGCATTTTTTCTTTTCCCTCGTGTACCAGACCCGAAGTGCGACATCTCTGGTAGAACGTGGTAAGATCAGCGTGCACTCGTGCCAGGCAGGCGAGGCAGTGTTGCTGGTGTGGGACGAGCACCACCTTCACTACAGAGTCCTTCTCGAGGGTAACCCCTACCTCCACTTCCTCCACATCGACTCCTACGGCCCTCTCAGTCTCTCCAAGGGTGAGTGTTGTGTTTGTGCTTGTACATTCCCTTGCCATCTCTGTCCCTCTGTGTTTATAACAGCCGGACATTTCATCGCGCTTACTCGGCACTCGCTGCTATATCTCTCGCGTGGTGTGCTGTGCAGGCTTGGAACGTGACTTCCCAGTGTTTTTATGTATTATGGACAACTTTGGGTTCTTTTGAATGGTTCCAGTAATATTTCTTTAGATTCATTTTAAGCAAAGGATAACATGGTCTTACAAATTTAAAAGAAAAACCATATCGTTCAGAAAAATTTGCAGATGGTTCTTGAAAGAAATTTGGCATTCAAAGTAAAGATTAATAGCCTGTAATTATTCTCAAAAAACCACATATAAGGGGACAAAGATTTCGCAGAGTGGATAAGGATTATTGAGAATCGCTAAGATAACCAGAAACTACCGAATAATCTCATCTAAGATAGCTTTCACCATGCGGGGCGGAAGATGACATATTATTATACAAGAAAAATTTGTGAAGTTAAGCAGATTAGCAGATAGCAAGATAACTGGTGAGGAAGTAGCAGTCAGCAAGATAACTGGTGAGGAAGTAGCAGGCAGCAAGATAACTGGTGAGGGAGTAGCAGGCAGCAAGATAACTGGTGAGAGGGAGTAGCAGGCAGCAAGATAACTGGTGAGGAAGTAGCAGGCAGCAAGATAACTGGTGAGGAAGTAGCAGGCAGCAAGATAACTGGTGAGGGAGTAGCAGGCAGCAAGATAACTGGTGAGAGAGGGAGTAGCAGGCAGCAAGATAACTGGTGAGGAAGTAGCAGGCAGCAAGATAACTGGTGAGAGAGTAGCAGACAGCAAGATAACTGGTGAGGAAGTAGCAGGCAGCAAGATAACTGGTGAGGGAGTAGCAGGCAGCAAGATAACTGGTGAGGGAGTAGAAGGCAGCAAGATAACTGGTGAGCAGGCAGCAAGATAACAGGCAGCAAGATAACTGGTGAGGGAGTAGCAGGCAGCAAGATAACTGGTGAGGGAGGAAGTAGCAGGCAGCAAGATAACTGGTGAGGGAGTAGCAGGCAGCAAGATAACTGGTGAGGGAGTAGCAGGCAGCAAGATAACTGGTGAGGGAGGGAGTAGCAGGCAGCAAGATAACTGGTGAGGGAGTAGCAGGCAGCAAGATAACTGGTGAGGGAGTAGCTGGCAGCAAGATAACTGGTGAGGGAGTAGCAGGCAGCAAGATAACTGGTGAGGGAGTAGCAGGCAGCAAGATAACTGGTGAGGGAGGGAGTAGCTGGCAGCAAGATAACTGGTGAGGGAGTAGTAGGCAGCAAGATAACTGGTGAGGGAGGGAGTAGCAGGCAGCAAGATAACTGGTGAGGGAGTAGCTGGCAGCAAGATAACTGGTGAGGGAGTAGCTGGCAGCAAGATAACTGGTGAGGGAGTAGCTGGCAGCAAGATAACTGGTGAGGGAGTAGCAGGCAGCAAGATAACTGGTGAGGGAGTAGCAGGCAGCAAGATAACTGGTGAGGGAGTAGCAGGCAGCAAGATAACTGGTGAGGGAGGGAGTAGCTGGCAGCAAGATAACTGGTGAGGGAGTAGTAGGCAGCAAGATAACTGGTGAGGGAGGGTAGGGTGAGGGAGGGAGTAGCAGGCAGCAAGATAACTGGTGAGGGAGGGAGTAGCAGGCAGCAAGATAACTGGTGAGCAGGCAGCAAGATAACTGGTGAGGGAGGGAGTAGCAGGCAGCAAGATAACTGGTGAGGAAGTAGCAGGCAGCAAGATAACTGGTGAGGGAGGAAGTAGCAGGCAGCAAGATAACTGGTGAGGGAGGGAGTAGCAGGCAGCAAGATAACTGGTGAGGGAGTAGCAGGCAGCAAGATAACTGGTGAGGGAGGAGTAGCAGGCAGCAAGATAACTGGTGAGGGAGTAGCAGGCAGCAAGATAACTGGTGAGGGAGTAGCAGGCAGCAAGATAACTGGTGAGGGAGTAGCAGGCAGCAAGATAACTGGTGAGGGAGTAGCAGGCAGCAAGATAACTGGTGAGGGAGTAGCAGGCAGCAAGATAACTGGTGAGGGAGTAGCAGGCAGCAAGATAACTGGTGAGGGAGGAAGTAGCAGGCAGCAAGATAACTGGTGAGGGAGTAGCAGGCAGCAAGATAACTGGTGAGGGAGTAGCAGGCAGCAAGATAGCTGGCAGCAAGATAACTGGTGAGGGAGTAGCAGGCAGCAAGATAACTGGTGAGGGAGTAGCAGGCAGCAAGATAACTGGTGAGGGAGGAGTAGCAGGCAGCAAGATAACTGGTGAGGGAGTAGCAGGCAGCAAGATAACTGGTGAGGGAGTAGCAGGCAGCAAGATAACTGGTGAGGGAGGGAGTAGCTGGCAGCAAGATAACTGGTGAGGGAGTAGTAGGCAGCAAGATAACTGGTGAGGGAGGGAGTAGCAGGCAGCAAGATAACTGGTGAGGGAGGGAGTAGCAGGCAGCAAGATAACTGGTGAGGGAGGGAGTAGCAGGCAGCAAGATAACTGGTGAGGGAGTAGCAGGCAGCAAGATAACTGGTGAAGGAGGAAGTAGCAGGCAGCAAGATAACTGGTGAGGAAGTAGCAGGCAGCAAGATAACGGGTGAGGGAGGAAGTAGCAGGCAGCAAGATAACTGGTGAGGGAGGGAGTAGCAGGCAGCAAGATAACTGGTGAGGGAGGGAGTAGCAGGCAGCAAGATAACTGGTGAGGGAGTAGAAGGCAGCAAGATAACTGGTGAGGGAGAGGAGTAGCAGGCAGCAAGATAACTGGTGAGGGGGAGTAGCAGGCAGCAAGATAACTGGTGAGGGAGTAGCAGGCAAGATAACTGGTGAGGGAGGGAGTAGCAGGCAGCAAGATAACTGGTGAGGGGGGAGTAGCAGGCAGTAAGATAACTGGTGAGGGAGTAGCAGGCAAGATAACTGGTGAGGGAGGGAGTAGCAGGCAGCAAGATAACTGGTGAGGGGGGAGTAGCAGGCAGCAAGATAACTGGTGAGGGAGGAGTAGCAGGCAGCAAGATAACTGGTGAGGGAGGGAGTAGCAGGCAGCAAGATAACTGGTGAGGGAGGGAGTAGCAGGCAGCAAGATAACTGGTGAGGGAGGTGCAGGCAGCAAGATAACTGGTGAGGAGGGAGTAGCAGGCAGCAAGATAACTGGTGAGGGAGGAGTAGCAGGCAGCAAGATAACTGGTGAGGGAGGGAGTAGCAGGCAGCAAGATAACTGGTGAGGGAGGAAGTAGCAGGCAGCAAGATAACTGGGGAGGGAGTAGCAGGCAGCAAGATAACTGGTGAGGGAGGAAGTAGCAGGCAGCGAGATAACTGGTGAGGGAGTAGCAGGCAGCAAGATAACTGGTGAGGGAGGGAGTAGCAGGCAGCAAGATAACTGGTGAGTAGCAGGCTCAAGATAACTGGTGAGGCAGCAAGATAACTGGTGAGGGAGTAGCAGGCAGCAAGATAACTGGTGAGGGGGGAGAGGAAGAGGCAGCAAGATAACTGGTGAGGGAGTAAGAGGCAGCAAGATAACTGGTGAGAGAGGAGCAGGCAGCAAGATAACTGGTGAGGGAGTAGCAGGCAGCAAGATAACTGGTGAGGGAGTAGCAGGCAGCAAGATAACTGGTGAGGGAGTAGCAGGCAGCAAGATAACAGAGAGGAAGAGGCAGCAAGATAACTGGTGAGGGAGTAGCAGGCAGCAAGATAACTGGTGAGAGAGGAAGAGGCAGCAAGATAACTGGTGAGGGAGTAGCAGGCAGCAAGATAACTGGTGAGTGAGAGAGGAAGAGGCAGCAAGATAACTGGTGAGGGAGTAGCAGGCAGCAAGATAACTGGTGAGGGGGGAGTAGCAGGCAGCAAGATAACTGGTGAGGGAGGGAGTAGCAGGCAGCAAGATAACTGGTGAGGGAGGGAGTAGCAGGCAGCAAGATAACTGGTGAGGGGGGAGTAGCAGGCAGTAAGATAACTGGTGAGGGAGTAGCAGGCAGCAAGATAACTGGTGAGGGGGGGAGTAGCAGGCAGTAAGATAACTGGTGAGGGAGGTGCAGACAGCAAGATAACTGGTGAGGGAGTAGCAGGCAGCAAGATAACTGGTGAGGGAGGTGCAGGGAAGATCAGGCAGCAGATAACTGGTGAGGGAGGTGCAGGGAAGATCAGGCAGCAAGATAACTGGTGAGGGAGGTGCAGGCAAGATCAGGCAGCAAGATAACTGGTGAGGGAGGTCCAGGAAGATCAGGCAGCAAGATAACTGGTGAGGGAGGTGCAGGCAAGATCAGGCAGTAAGATAACTGGTGAGGGAGGTGCAGGGAAGATCAGGCAGCAAGATAACTGGTGAGGGAGGTGCAGGGAAGATCAGGCAGCAAGATAACTAGTGAGGGAGGTGCAGGGAAGATCAGGCAGTAAGATAACTGGTGAGGGAGGTGCAGGGAAGATCAGGCAACAGAACAGTTGTGATCTGCTTCACCTTATAAACATGGATATTATCCAGGTGTTGCATACAACCTTTTCGTGATAATTAGCAGGTTCTTGTTTACTAAATATACGCAAAGTTGATTTGATTTGTATCCCGTCCAAGACTGGTCTTGGACGCTCCCTTCCCCTTTATCCTATCCAAGGATGTGTGGAATTACCCAAGTGTAGTTACAGGATGAGCCGGTCGGCTGAGCGGACAGCATGCTGGACTTGTGATCTTGTGGTCCTGGGTTCGATCCCAGGTGCCGGCGAGAAACAATGGGCAGAGTTTCTTCACCCTATGCCCCTGTTACCTAGCAGTAAAATAGGTACCTGGGTGTTAGTCAGCTGTCACGGGCTGCTTCCTGGGGGTGGAGGCCTGGTCGAGGACCGGGCCGCGGGGACACTAAAGCCCCGAAGTCATCTCAAGATAACCTAAGGATGAGAGCTACGCTCGTGGTGTTCTGTGTGTGTGTGTGTGTGTGTGTATATTCACCTAATTGTGCTTGCGGGGGTTGAGCTTTGGCTCTTTGGTCCCGCCTCTCAACTGTCAATCAACTGGTG